GAGAGCCCAACCTTCGCAGCCTCAGGCGCCATCTCCTGGTCAGCGTGGGTATTAAGACCTGGTCTTCTTTGGAGGTTGGAATCCAACCTCCGAAGTTGGATTCCCTTGCTTATCCTATTTTATCCCCTCCCTCAGCCTTGGCCAGCCAGCATAATTCCTGAAAACTAGGGATTAAGACTCAGCAGCTTCTTGAGGGTGATTTATCTTCCCAGAGACTCCTCAACCTCGGTGGCCCCACCATCCCCAGGCTTGCGTAGGCCTGGCGTCATCTGGATTCTTCTCTCTGCCCTCTGACCCGTTGACCCCTCCCCTTACCACTAATCGTATTAATCCTCAAGGCCTGTCATTCCAACCTCCACAAGCTCTCTCCGTAGCGCAGGCTCTCATCACCTCCCATCTGAATTGTTCCAATAGCCTCATCCCTGCTTTCTCTGCTTCCAGCCTCCGCTGCAGTCGGTCAGCCAATCAGCATTTATTAAACCCTGACTATATGCCAGGCACTCTGCAAAGCGCTAGGGATGCAAAGAAAGGCAAAAGATAATCCCTGCCCTGAAGGAGTTCACAGTTTAATGGGGAAGATAACATGCAAATAATTACATACAAATGAAACATATAGAGGCTAACTAGGAAATAATCAACAGAGGGGAGGCAGTGGTATGAATGGGGGTAACGGAAGGTGAGATTTTAGTCGAGACTTCAAGGAAACCATGGAAGCCAGGAGGAGGAGACGAGGAGAGAAAGCATCCCAAGCATGGGAGACGGCCAGTGAAAATGTCCAGAGCCAAGAGATGAAGAGTCTTTCCTAGAAATAGCAAAGAGGCCAGTATAATCTCCCTTAAGCCAAAAACTTTCAGTGGCATTCCGTGAAAACTCCTGCCTCTGACATTCAAGGCTTCCCCATGATCTGGCGCCTCGATTGTCTCAATGTTTTTCCTTATCTCCCACTATTCTTCTGGATTGCCCACATAGCTGGATAGCTCAGTTCCCATTCTCTTACCTTTACTCACACAGTTTACCAATGCCTGAAAGAGGCTACCCCTTTCCATCTCTGTCCGATCCTGGTTCTAAAGCATCTATCTGCCAGGATTGTTGTAAGGTTCAAATGAGATAATGTCTGTAAATCACTGGCACATAGTAAGCGCTTGGTAAATGTTAGCTATTATTATTGAAGCAAGAAGGGACTTTAGAGAGCATGCAATCTAATCCCCTCATTTTACAGATGAGGAAACTGAGGTTCCCTCTGCCGAGGTCACTCAGGGATTGGCAGAGCTGGACTTGGAACTCAGCTCCTCAGACTCCACTTCCAGCATGCTTTTCGTTGCAGTAGTATGCCTTCCAGAAGAAATCTCTCCCTCTCTGAGCCATCACTTCCAGGAATCCCCTGAATTCCTATGGTTAATGGGAGGGAGGGTGGTCAGAGTAATCTCTCCCTCCTCCAATGTTTTCTAGGGATTTTCTACTTGTTCTATTTTTCCTTCTTTGTCATTCAGTAATTTTTTGTGTAATTGGTGTATCTCCCCTAGAAGATCATGAGGCAGCTAGGGGACACAGTGGATAGAATGTTGGGATTGGAGTCAGGAAGACTTGAGTTCAATTACGGCTTCAGACACTCACTAACTTTGTGACCTTGAGCAAGTCACTTAATTTCTGTCTGCCTCTGTGCTCTCAAGTGCAAAATGAGGATTATAGTTTCCAGGGTTGTTGTAAGGATCAAATGAAATTTTTAAAAAGCACTTGGCACATAAATGCCTGTCCTCTCTCCCCTTGCCATTATTCCTTTTTGTGCTCTTAGCTGAGAGGGAGTGTGGTGCAGTAGATGGAGAACTGGTCAGGAAGCCAGGAAGACCTGGGTTCAAGTGCTGACTTTGATGTATATGGCCTGAGTGATTTGTCACATCATACAGGATCACAGATTGAGAGCTGGAAGGAGCCTTAGAAGTCATTCAGTCCATCCCCATCATTTTATAGTTGAAGAAACTGAAGCCCAGAGAGTCACCCCTCTGAGCTGGGATTTGAACCTGGGTCTTCCTGACTCCAACTGAAGTCTGCTCTTTCCACCACCCTACAGTGCCAGTGCATTGCTGGAGGGAGTGTTCTTACTGGGAGTTCCCTATACAAATGAAATCGAAGATCTTGGTTCTCCCCGTCACCTTGCCACTCCTCCCACCCCTCAAAAAAGCATTCCCAGGTGATCTTGCAATCTGGCACAATCTAGTTATTTTCTTAAGAGAGATTAGATTTGTTCTGCAGAGGGCAAGACTAGGAGCAGTTGGAAACCAGAGAGAAGACTTCCGCTCAAAGTCAGAAGAAATGAGATGGTTAAAAGTGGAGTGGCCACCCTCCGGAGGTGCTGGGCTCCAGCCCCTTCCCTGGAGGTCAAGTTGCAACTGGATGGCCACTTGTCAGGGGAGGGTGTAGAGGAGATCTTGGTTGGGTCCTGGTTGGCCTAGGTGGTCTCTGAGGCCCCTTCCTGTTCCAAGAGGCTCTGAAGTGTTTGGCCAACTGCTTTGGTAGGCCCTTGAATTCACAGGGTCCTTGATCAGTACCAGGAAGGAACCATGGAGATCCTATAGTCCTCTCCCTTCCCTTTTTACAGATGACAAACCTGAAGCCCAGAGAGGTTAAATGGCTTTCCCAAAGTCACATAGGCAGTAATTGACTGACGATCTGAACCTAACAAGCATTTAATAAGTGAAAGGGAAGTCACTTTAGCTATTATTGGCCTCAATTTCCTCAACTGTAAAATGGGCATGATAACAGCATCTGCCTCATAAAGGTTATTGTGAGAATTAAATTAGATATCTGTAATACCAACAAACCACTTAGCACAACACCTGGCACATAGCTGTTGTTTATCCTTAATTTCTTTTTTTCAGTGAGGCAATTGGGGTTAAGTGACTTGCCCAGAGTCACACAGCTAGTAAGTGTTGTGTCTCTAAGGCCGGATTTGAACTCAGGTCCTCCTGAATCAAGGGCCGGTGCTCTATCCACTGCATCACCTAGCTGCCCCTTTATCCTTCATTTTCAAAGAGGACAATGACATCATGGAGTGGTCTTGACTCAATTGGATTGAAGTGAGGCGGAGTTACACAAAGTCATCAGCCTCACTCTCTCTTCCAAGGTCATTGAAGTCCAGTAGCAGGACAAATGTCAGGTTGACTGGTAATGGTCCGGGATGCAGTGGGTGACCTTGGTGTCTTTGATGTTTGACCAAGGTCCAAGCTTGGAGCTCCACAATGCCTGCTTAGCTGCCTTCATGGCCGTTGGAACAAATTGTCCTCATCCACCCATTCTGACAGAGGAACTCTTCACATACTTGGGGTAGACATCCCCTTAACTCGATGAAGGCTTTGTGACCAATCAGTTACCCTCAAACTGGTTTAGCCCGACTGCCAAGACAGTTTACCAGGGTGTGGCCACTGCACTTGCTACAACTTCTTGGAGTCATGGGTGAGAGTTGGGTGAGTTGTGTGGACACCAAAGCAGATGAACAGCCCTGAAAAGGGCTCAGCAGCCCTCACAAGAGAGGTGCTGGTCCTCCTAGAATACCTATGCACCCCTCAGTACATGGTACCTAGTAGTAGGTATTCCATAAACGCTTATTTCCTTTCTCCCTTCCCCCTATTCACTAAGTACTAGGGGGGCAGCTAAGTGGTACAGTGGATAGAGCACCGGCCCTGAAGTCAGGAGGACCTGAGTTCAAATCTGGCCTCAGACCAAACACTTGACACTTACCAGCTGTGTGGCCCTGGGCAAGTCACTTCACCCTAATTGTCTAAAAAAACAAAAACAAAAAACAAACAAACATAAAATACTAAATACTAGGCACTGTGCTAAGTGATTTGAAGATATCACACTATAGGAGTACAGAGATAAGAAGTAAACAGTCCTTGCCTTCAAGAAGCTTCCATTTTACTGTCCAAAGATGCATAAACGTGAGCTTATTTGAGAAAGGAATGAGCACCCGAAGCTGAACTGGGGGTTGGGAGAAGGGGAATCAGCAGTCTCCTCTGAATCCTTCCTTCTCTGTTTGAAGATGGGTTGGGGGATGGGGTGGAGAGTTTGTTGTCAGGTAGGGGTGGATGCCTCCCTTGGGTCTTGATTCTTTCCCTCCATCCCTGCCCACCCACCGCGATGATTCTGGGAGGCCCTGAAACTGAGTGCTGTTCTCCCCATCCCCCACCCCACCCCAGAACACAAGGTTGGGCCTCAGGCGCTATTTTATTGCTGTCAAAGCAGACAACAGAAAATAGGGTGGGGGTTGGGGGGGATGCTGCTGAAGGAAAGGTTCCTGAGGGACAAAGGTGCTTCGTGGAGTCCTTTCTAGGCCAGGTCCAGGGTGGCATGGGACTTACGTTCCAGGCATGCCTCCTGAACTGAGGACCTGGAGGTCTGAAATTTGGTGGGGAAATGTGACAGCTGGGCTGGAGAGGCTGAATCTGGGGCTGAGTGGGCCGGGATGGAGAAACTTTGGGTCTTCTGTCTGCTCAGGCAGGGATCGTCCAGGAAACCCAAGGGAGTAACGGTAACTTTGAGGTTGTGGGGAACCTCTGAGGAATAGTTTGATGAGGGAGATAGGGGCAAGGTAATCAGTAGTTGAGGTTTCCTCAAGGGCAAGGCTACTGGACCTCCTGAGGTTCTCAAGTGTGTGGCACCCTGCTGGGAAGCAGCGTAGGAAAGTCTGGGATTCTCAGTGGGAAGCATTTGTGTTGAGACTGAAGGTTTGACCCTGGGTTCTTCTGCTGAGGGGAAGGCTTGGACTGTGGATTCAGTCCCTTCCAAAGAGGAGGGGTTCCAGGCCCCCCCGAACAGGCAATGCAGGACCCTAGGAGTTTCAGATGATAGGGCATAGGGTTTGAGCTGGGGTGGGAACTGGGGGCCTCCAGCATCTGGGAGTGGAGAATGAGAAATGACTTTGGGATCCCATCGTGGGAACTGGTGTGTGTGTGGCTAGAACGACGTGGAGTGGGGGTGTTCCGAAACTTGGGGCAGTACCTCACTCACACCCAATCCCGAGCTTGACTGTCGCCCTCCCACCTGCCCTGGCTTTCCAGGCAGTTTCCCTGGGTTTCCAGGCAGCCTCCCTGGGTTTCCAGGCAGCTTCCCTGGGGCTTGGTTGAGGAGCCCCGGGCGCAGGCTGAGGCCCAGGGCGGTGGCGGCAGTGGCAGCAGCTGGCACAGGTGGTGGATGAGACGGCCATAGGCCGCTGAGGCCAGCACCAGCAGAGGGGGCAGCGTCAGGAAGCCCAGGACAATAAGCGCGGACGAACTGCGGTCGTCCAGCAGGGCCCGGCACGGGCGGGAGTCCGAGCGCAGCACCTGGAGAAGGAGGGAGGGAGGGAAGTGGGGCACATACACATACCCCAGTCCACTATAGGAGGGAAATGTTCCCCAACCCTGTCTATCCTCAGAATCTCAGGGTGCCCTCCTATTCAAGTCACCACCACCCCCAGCCTTTGCTCCTCTGGCTGCAAAAGGAGCAGGGGAGAGGAGAGGAGAGGAGAGACCCTCCCCACTACTGTGATTCATCTCAGCCTCCCCTTCAACTGTTCCCCCATATCGTCTTTCTCTTAAGGTTCAACCTTCTCCCTCATCTCCACCCGTTACCTCCATTCAATCCTGGATCCCCGGACTCCTCAGCAGACTCAGCTCTCCCCCCCCCCTTCCTCCCTCACTCCTCTTCAACCTCTCCTCTCCCTCATCTGGACTCAGGTCCCATCATCACATTTCAGGGTTAGAAGGTACCCCAAGCTGGGTGGCACAGTGGACAGAACTCCTCTGGAAGACCTGAGTTCAAATGTGACCTCAGCCACTTATGTGTGACCCGTGGCAAGTTACTGCACTTGTTTGCCTCAGTTTCCTCATGGGTAAAATGGGGATCATAACAGTTGTTGTGAGGCTCAAATGAGAGAGTATTTGTAAAGCACTTAGCACGGTACCTGGCACATAGTAAACGCTATACAAATGTTAGCTATTTTTCTTATTATATTATCTCCGCTCTCCTTGTATATCCGTATCCACCTCGTACCTGCTTTTTACATTTGCTTGTCTGTGGAAGAAGAAGGGAGAAGGGTGCTGCCCAGTTACAGGGTAGGAGAAGAAGGGAAAAAGGGGAAATAAGGGGAGACTGGTGGCCAGGTTGTTTCCCCTTATAGAATGTAAACTCCTGGAAGGCAGGGACCATTTCAGTTTTTTGTCTTTTTATCTCTAGGACCTGGAAACAAAGTGCCTGGCACTTTGTGCTTGGTGCTTGGTACTTATTGATTGATATAACTTCAGGATAACAAACACTTCACTCCCCCGAAAAGTCCGACCTCCACCCTCCACACACACACCCTTCCACAGTCACACACACCCACACACCCACACACCC